TGGAGCTCCCTATGGGGCTACGAAACGCGTGAGAGGTGTGCCGAGAGCAGAGGCAAGGAGGGGGAGGAGGGAGGAGGGGGAGGAGGAAGGAGGAGGGGAACGCGGGGCACCGTCTCTTCAAAACGAGGACCCAACACCACAGGATGGTTGGGAAAAAACACCAACCCGACAAAAAATCTTTCCCAACTGGAAAAAACCCTCCGAAGGTTTTTTTCGGGTTGGAGCAGTTTTTTTTAGGTTGAACGGGTTTTTTTTTGGGGGGGTGTTTTGTGGGGGGGGTTGTAGCGTTTTTTTTCCGGGTTTTGCCGGAGCACGTTCAGAGCAGTCCGGAGCACGTTCAGACCAGTCGGCGGGGTGCACGTCCGGAGCACATTCAGACCAGTCGCGTTGGGTTTTTTTGGGGAGACTCTTGGGGGCTCTGTTGAAGGGCCTGGAAGCGCTTCTGGGTGTCCTCTTGAGTTTTCTCGGGCCGTTTGGTTTTTTGGGGGGCCCTCGCGAGGCCATCTTAGACCGTCGTGGCGTCGTTTTGGTTCCTCCTGAGCCGTCTTGCCGTCTTGGGGCCACTCGTGAGGTTGCGTGGGCCGCCATGGGCTTCTGAGAGTCGAAAAAGGCTAGAATGCGGAAATCTTCCCAACCCTTTAGGAAATAAATGATGTAGGCATTTGGAGGCGCTCTTGGGGGCGAGGCTCCCTTCAGCCGTCTTGGGCGATGTTGGGGGGTTCTTTGGGGCCATCTTGGGCCGTTTCGGGCCCATCTTAACCCGTGTTGAGGCCATCTTGACCCGTCTGGACGCCCTCTTGAACCCCCGACAGGCCCAAGAGGTTCGCCTCCTTCGCTTCCTCCTGCCTGCCCCGTCTCGGCCTGCTTCTTCGTCGTGCCTCTTTGATTTTCTCCTCCTCCTATCACCCCCATGGATCCCCCTCCTCCTCGTCCTGTCTTTGCATTTTGCCTCTCCCTCCTCATCAAAATCTTCCTCCCGCCCCCTCCGCTTCTCCTCTTCCAGCCTCCTCCAGCTGCCTGTTCCTTCTCTGGCAGCTGTTTGCTGCGTGTTTCTCCTTCTTCGTGCGTTCCACGTTTCGTCGTCGCGTTTTTGTTGCTGTCTGTTCTTCCTCCTCCTCCTCCTCTTGCTTTCCCCGTCCTGTTCAACCTTCTGCATCCTCCTCCTCTCCCTTCCTCCTCCCTTCTTTTCCCACTTTTTCCCTTTCCTCTCCTCATGCCTCGTCATGTTCCTCATTATTTTCTTTCGGCCTCCTCCAGCTTCCTCCTCGTGCTAATATTCCTACTATTGATGCTTCTTTCTGGGGCCTCATGCGTTCGGGGGCCTGCTGTTTCCTACTGGTTCCTCCTGGAGGTCCCTCCCTTGACCGCCCTCAACTCTAGACTTTGTTCTTCAGTGGTTCGATGGTTGGTTCGTCAGTTTCCCCCTTCATCCTGTTCCTCTTCTCCTGAGCTTCGCCGCCGCCCGCATCTTTATTATCGTGGACTGTGGGTTCCCCATTCCGTCTTCTGCGTCCCTTTGTTGTATACTTATTTGTAGCATCTTGCATCGTCTTCATCCAAAGGCTCCATGTCCACTGTGATGTTGAACGTGACCATCTGCATGACATCGGCCATGGTAACCTCAATGATGTCTGCACGAATCATGGTGGTGATGTCATCGTGATTGGGACGATGACGGTGCTCACAGTGACGGTGATGATAATGAAGTTGATGGTGATTGACATGGTTATGATGATGATGATGATGATGATGATGATGATGTTAATGACCATGATGGTAATGGTGATGGTGACGATGAGGATCGTGATGCTGATGATGCTGATAATGATGATGATGATGATGATGATGATGAGGATGAGGGTGATGATGATGATGATGGTAATGATGATGAGTCTGGGGAGGTGAGCGCCGCGCCGAAATAGGCAATCTGGTTCGAGTACCCCGAAGCTTGTAGCAGCTATGGGCCGGGGTGTATGCGCGAACTGCCACAAGGCCGGGCCAGACCGGTGCTCCAAGCACGGTTGCGGGAGTTGGAGGCGCATGACGGCCACGGAGGAGGCCGAGTTCAAGAGCCACAGGCTTCTTGAGCCAGCCGCTGCAAAGCAGCAAGGGGCCGACCAGAAGATGAAGGAGGACAAGGGGAGGGAGAAGAAAACCGAGGAGGACAAGGTGACGGAGGAGCTCAAGCGCCGCAGGGTTCCCGAGCCCTCGGCGGAGAAACAGAAGGAAGCTGACCATAATACCAAAGAGGACAAGGAGAGGAAGGACGGCGCCGAGCACCAGGACGGCGCCGAGCATTGTGATGAAAAGCAGGATGCGGAGAGCTCGAGCGATTCATCGTCTTCCTCGTCGGGCGATCCATCGTCCACGTCGGATAGCTCAAGTCTTCCGCGGAAGCGCGCGGAACTCCGGCGGGCTCTTGATGCACTGAAAACCAAGGTTCGTGAGAAGATCCGGCCTCTGTTCTATGGCGTCGCCAAAGAGCGTGATGAGGCGAAGAAGGCGCTCGCCACCAAGTCGGGCGAATTGGAGGCAGTGAAGGAGCAGCTTGGGGATGCACAAGCGGATCTCCGCGCGGAGGAGCGCAAAACGCAGCGCGTCCAGGAGGAGCTCACGGAGACCAAGACGGCGCTGACGTGGGCGCGCCGGTTAGGCTTCGCGGAGGGCCGGGGCTCGGCGGCGACGGACCTGGGGGAGGAGCGGGGGAGGCGCCAGACGCTCAAAGAGACGCTGGACCACGAGCGCGCCGAGGGGGAGAAGCGGAAAGCGGCGGCGCAGGCGCGCCGCGAGGCTGGCGACAAGGGCAGCGGCAAAGGGGCTGACGAGGAAGGCGGCAAGGGGACGGGCCAGGACCGCGGCAACTGGCAGAAGAACGACAGCGACAAGGGGAAGGACAAGGACGACGGGAAGGGCGAGGACAGGGGCGGCGGGAAGGGGAACGACAAGAACGGCGGCAAGAACGTGGATGGAAATGGGTGGTAGGAGGAGGAGGAGGAGGAGGACGACGACGACGACGAAGGCAGGGAAAATATGACGACGAGGAGGAGGAGGACGACGGATGAGGAGAAAGAGGACGGAATACTTGCCGTTTGTCAGCGTTCCCAACCTAAGTGCGTCCACATCGCTCATTGACTCTGTGCGTCGAGGCTCCTTCACTTGCTCGTCGTGCATATTATCAGTACCAATGGTGTCGCGTGAGAGAAGCCCGTGCTGCGCAATGTCTGCACAATTTGAACTCGCACGTCCGGCGAACCTGGCGCGCTCGGCGCACCCGGCGCACCGGGCGCGCCCGGCGCACCCGGCGCACCCGGCGCACCCGGCGCACCCGGCGCACCCGGCGCACCCGGCGCACCCGGCGCACCCAGCGCACCCGGCGCACCCGGCGCACCCGGCGCACCCGGCGCACCCGGCGCACCCGGCGCACCCGGCGCACCCGGCGCACCTGGCGCACTTTGCACACCCAGCACACCCGGCGCACCCGGCGCACCCGGCAAACCCGGCAAACCCGGCGCACCCGGCAAACCCGGCGCACCACCCGGCGCACCACCCGGCGCACCCGGCACACCCCGCCGCACCCGGCGAACCCGGCGCACCCGGCGCACCCCACGCACTTGGCACACGGCACACCCGGCACACCCGGCGCACCCGGCGCACCCGGCACCCCGCACAAGCGACTGTTATGTTGGACCGACAGGCTTGACGGAGTGTTAGACCGACAGGTTTGACAGACAAATTGTTGGACCGACAGGTTTGACAGAGTGTTTGACCGACAGGCTTGACCGCCTGTTAAGCCGACAGGTTCGACAGACAGATTGTTGGACCGACAGGTTTGACAGAGTGTTGGACAGACAAGTCTGACAGACAGAGGTTTTGGCTGCAGACTCCGAGGCGCAGTCACTCTCTCGAGCTGAACGCAGTTTTGCTTCTGTATGTAGCTGGACTGACAAGCCCAGATGTATCAGGAGGTGAGCCTTCCTTTCCATGATGTGCTTGTCCTTTTCTCTTCCCTCTTTCCTACGAGTGTGAATCGTACTCCATACGATGTATTTTGGAGACAGATTTCAGTATTTTGTGTATGTTGCTCTCTCCCCTCCCCTCCGTTCCAGCATGCAAGCATGTGCAGTAGCAGGCAACAGTATATATATATATATATATATATATATATATATATATATATATATATATATGTATGTCTGTGTGTGTTTCTGACGCTGTACTGGCTCGATGCAGTTCGAGAGGCTTCTCTCGCACTTGGCAGAAAGGTTCCTCCCCCCAGGCACACAGAGCGCTAGTTCGGGAGGAGGTCGAACGACGGTTGGGCAGAGTATCGCAGTCTGATTCGAGCTGGTACGAAGACTTCGCGAGCTTCGACCGATTGGCAGCTGCTGCCGATCCCGCTGCTGGTGTTGGTGCCGCTGCCTCTTCCGCAGCCACCGCCACTGCCCCTGCCTGGCGAGGACCCGCTCAGAGTCAGAATCCCTGGGCACCTCCTTCGCACGTTCGGGGCCCGCTGTCCGAGACGCGCCCAGCCGTGGCGACGAGGGGTCACCCCCAGAGGCCTGGATAGCAGGGGCGAGGAGGCGGAGAATGGACGAGGACAAGTAAGACCCCAGAAGCCTAATTACGGGGGCCTCCAGGGGCCGAAAGGACGACCATGACGTCCAAAATGTCCCTGGCTGAGGCTCCCTCCGACAACCTCGGCCCCGGCAGCCGCAGCGTCGCCAGCCGAGCGTCAAGCGCCAGCGCCGCGGGTGCACCCCGCCCCGTTTGGGCGGAGCCAGGACAGGGACAAGTCTTTCCAGAGCGTTCCGGGACGCTTTCAGAGCGTTCCGGAGCGCTCTGAGCAGGCCGCGGCGCCCGATGCATCATCCAGAGCCGCCAGCTCGCAGAGGTTCTTCATCTGTCTTGGTCCGATGTCGTCCCTGTCCTGGCCCCGCCCCACCTTCCTGCCGCCATGGGCAACACCTGCGCCACCCGCCCAGCCGGGCAGGGCCCAGCAGGTGCGCGGGCCGCCAGGGTGGCGCTCATCGACGACGCGGTCGAGACCATCCTGCTGGAGGGTGGGCCTGCCGAGGAGCCCGCGGCTGGCGCGCCGCCGCCGAGAAGCCGCGGCCGCAAGGCCACCGGCTTCGTCTTCGAGAGGCCCTGGAGCGAGGGCGGCAGCGAGGGCGCCGCGTCGCCCGGCGGCGAGGGCTCCGAGGCCGTGCCAGTGGAGCGGGGAGCCGAGGAGGACTGTCCCTACAGTCAAGACGCTGAAATAAGGAGCAGTTTGGGTTCGGACGGGGCTGTTCCTCTCGCCCTCCTGGGGCACGGAGGCGCAGGGCCAAGAAGGGGCTTCGTTCCTTATTTAGCGTACCTTCTTTCAGCGGCCCGACTGCACTCTCTGAGGCCTTCTTCATCCTCCGTCCATCTGGTGTCCTGTGTAGGCCTCTGCGCCCCAGGTTGTTCTCTGTTGTTTTGTTTTTCTGTGCATTCACCGCCCGAACGCTGCGAGCCCAGCGCTCGAAGTCCGCTCAGCTCAGAAGTCGGAGCTCACGTAACGGGCGAAAGCGCTGACGGGGGTCAGCCAACCCCCTCAGGCTGACCCGGGTTGGGGAGCCACGTTGGGTCGATTCTCCCTGTCCGCTCTCCGCTGACCTGGGTCTAGGAGCGAGCTGCTGAGCGGCTGGCCAGGCTTCACGATGGGGCCCCCTGGCCGACCCGGGCCTGTGCTGACCCAGATTCGCGCGCCCCCGAAGGAGGAGGAGGAGGAGGCCGTGCAGCAGCTGATCTCGAGGACCTCGGAGCGGAAGTCGACCAGGGGGGCCGTGCGGCTGTCGCCAGCGGACTTGCAGGAGATCCACCGCGGGGCCCCGCCGGAGGCGGCGGAGGAGGAGGGCGCGCCGCCGGCGGCCCCCGCGGGGCCTGGCCCGGTGCTGCTGGCCGCGCCCGCGCCCAGGGAGAAGGGCCGGAAGGCCACGGGCCAGCCGGCCGAGCAGTCGCCGCGCCAGGCGGAGCAGCCGCAGCAGCCGCAGCAGCAGCGTGAGGGCGAGCCAGCGGCCGCCCCTGCCATGGCCCCCGGGGAGCGCCGCCAGAAAGTGCGCAAGGACGCCCTGTCGCCGTCGCCGCTGCAGTCGCCGCCGCCAGTCGCCGCCGTCGTCGCAGTCGTCGCCATCGTCGCCGTCGTCGCCGTCGTCGTCGTCCTTCGGCGGCCTTCGGCGTCCTTCCGCATCCTTTGGCGGCCTTCCCCTCGCTGGCCAGGATCGTAGAGTTCCGTCGTCGTGATTCCTCGATGCGCAGTCCCAGACGCTCTCAGCCCTTCCTTTGGGGACTGGCTTTTCATCCTGATTCGGGGCGCCGAAGGTGCTCCCCCAGGCCGAAATTTCGAGGAAACAGCGTTGGGGTTTGGGGTTGTCCTTCGACAACGGCGATGACGACGAGGACGACGAGGTCGAGGACGAAGACGACGAGGTCGAGGACGCGGACGAGGTCGAGGACGACAAGGATGAGGACGACGACAAGGATGAGGATGACGACATGGACGACGACGAGGAAAACGACAAAGATGACGACGAGGACGACGACGAGGAGGACGGAGGAGGAGGAGGAGGAGGAGGAGGAGGAGACGGAGGAGGAGGAGGAGGAGGAGGAGGAGGAGGAGGACGACGACGACGACGACGACGACGACCCTGCACGGCTCGCGTCCTCCCAGCCCCGCCCCTTCTGTTCAGGGGCAACGTGAGGGGGGGACAGGCCCAGGGGGGCATGCAGGAATCGTGCATCGGCCCGCAGTCGCTCACTCATCGCCGACCGGGGGGGCCCCGACCAGCCCACCCTGCCCGTGCGTGTGTGCGGTTCCGCCGCCGGAGGCCTGTCGCTCGGTCCTCGGCGATGTATCGCCGATTCCGGGCGGGATGTCTTCTCACTGAGCCAGTCCTGCGCAGAGCAGCGTGCGCTCCGGCACGATGTTCATGATACCGTGAAAAAGCTTCTCGATATCTGTGCCTCTCGATCGAGTCGGTCCTGCGCAACAGTCCGATGTTTCCTCCCTGAGCCGGGCCTGAGCAGAGCAGCGTGCTCTCCAAGGGCACCCACTCTGGCACGATGTTCATGATGCTGTGAAAAAGCCTCTCGATATCTGTGCCTCTCGATCGCGGTTTTCATCCGTATGTTAGTCTTGTGTCTCAGTCCCCCCTCCCTGTGTGGGGCACCCGGGGCGTCGCCCCCTCCTCAGCCTCTGCGGTGCTGTTCGTTGACCAGAATTAAAGCCTTTGAGAGATTGTCCCTCCAATGGCTCGCCATGTCACTGGAACGCTGGGGCTTGCCCCGATGGTTACAGCGAGGCCTGCTGGTTCTCGCGGTGCACCGAGAAGTGCAGACCCTAAACGGCGCGTGCCAAGGGCCCAGGAGAAGGCTGGCAGTGTCCATCGGCATGGGAGGCACGGCGTCCCCCCTGCTCTGGCGCAAGGCCTACGACACTGTCATCGCTGTCACCTCGGCGGCCGCCACCGATGGCTGCCCCCACGTCGACGTACGGCCTGGCGTCTCTACTTGACACCCCTGCCCATGCCCCCCGCGCCTGAATTTTGCTCCCATGGGCCTCGGGAGCCGCAGGGCTTCTAGCGGCCTCGCACTCACGTCGGGGCCTCGCCCTTCCCCTGTCCCCACCCCGACTTGCACCGCGTCCTCACCTCCGCCCCCATGACAGCCAAGACCACCCAGGACGGCATCGCGGTCCTCGCGGGCCTCCCCACCTGGCTAGCCAGCGAAATTATCTGGGCAGGCCTAGGGGGCGCTGCTGTCCCAGGCGCCCTGGAGTGGCAGCAGTCCTGCGCCTGCTCCTTCAAAACCGCCCTCGTCCCTAGCGCGGCCGCGACCTGGTGGGCCCGCGTGATGGAGGCATCCCCCCTCGGGAGCTCCTGTGTCAAGGCTCAATGGCTCAACCTTGGCACCACCATCTTTACGAGGAGCAACGGCCCCCAGCCTCCGAGGGGAGGGTGTGTGGATCCCAACTGCCTCCAAGAATTGTCGCAGAGCACCTGGGCTAAGGCCCTGACCAAGGTGAGGGCCCGTGCCCTCGCATGGCACAACGCCCGAGCCTCCCCTGGGCGGCGCGCGGCGGCCTGGAACGCACGCGTCGCCTCCGTCATCCCTTGCCCCGCGCACTACATCCACCCCTCCTCCGCCGCCAGCTCGGACCTCCTCGCGCAGCTTCGCGTCGCTCTAGGCACTGCCAGGCACGCGTGGGTGCCTGCCCTTGTCCTTTCTGGGATTGGCCCGTGGTGCCAGATCTCTGGCTGCCCCAGATGCCCACTCGCAACGGCCAGAGCCGTCGCCGCTCTGGCCTACGCGCGGCATGACGTGCGGGGCCCCCCTCCCTGCCCAAACCAAGGCCGTTCGGCGCTGGCGCAAAGCTGAGCGGCGGGCCCAATCTCACTGGGCCTAGGACCCCATCCGACGACCACGCTCAACAGTCAGTACTCTGGGGAATGCAGCACTCAGCATCCGGCAGCAGACCGCACAGCAGCACCCACCCAGACCAGCCCTACTCGGCCGAGCCATCTATGTCGGCACCTGGGCCATGCAACACGCCAGCGACTACCGCCAAAGGGTGCGCACTGCCAGCCTGAGGCGACGGCGGGCACATGGCGACGGCCAGGAGTGGGAGCTGTTAGCGCGCGCTCCAAACTTCACGGCTGCCTTCCACATGTTCGAAATACTGGCCAACGGGCTCCCGAGGCGAGCCAGATGGAGGTCCGCCCAGGACCGCCCTCTGCCCCGATGCTCCTCGTGCAACTCCCCCGGCAAATCCGTCTGGCACACCGCTGGCAGCGACGCGCCAGGCCCAGCCTGGCGCGAGCTGTGCCTCGGCCCCTGGGGATCGGTGGACGCCAAGTGGGCTGCGCTCGAGGCCGGCGGTGTCCCCCAAAGACTGACTGCCACTTGGCATCTCATCGAACAGGGGACCCCCCGCCGCTCCTCCCTGCGCCGGCGCCTGCCCACAGCGCCTACGGCTGCTGCCCCGTCTGCGGACACGGAGAAGCCAGCGCCGATCACCTCTGGACTTGTGCGGCGCTGTCGCGCTGGCGCGGCATTTAATACGCCCCGACAACTCGCCGCTCGCGATCGCCAGGGCCATCCTCCACCCGGGGGACCATTCCAAGGCCCTTGCTGATGGTCTGCGCCAGGTCGCCAATCGCAGCGCAGTCGCCCTCAACCATCCCCCGCTGGACCCAGACACCGCCGCCAACCTCGTCCGTGCCGCGATCGTCTCCGACAAGACCGGCGACCAGCTTGCCGACGAACCCGCATTTGACGGCCTACCTGAGGCCGACCCCCTCCCGACGATACTACCTGGGCTCACTGCGACGGCCCCTGCCCGGGATGCTGCCCGCCCCCACTCCCCGGCCTATTGGCAGGGTCCTCTCGGCCACGCCAGACCCGCACAGCCCAGAGGGCTGGGGGCGAGCTGCGAAGGCTCCTCATTGCCACCCTGCGTGTCCCGGCTGACGCTGCACTCATCCACCGCCGATGTGAGGCACCCTCGGGGGGATGGCTCCTTGCAGGGCAGGGGTGGGTCCCACACCCCCGTGCCACCAGCAACCAGCCGACCACTCGCTGGGAGCGCCAGTTCAGCGCTGTACCTGCTGCCAGCACCAGTAGACACTCCGCACCTCCACCGCCATCGAGGCTCAAGTCGAGATCACGGCCCCCCGCTCGCCCTTCCTTGACCAGGACCACGCGCAGTGGCCCATGGTGGTCACCCTTGACGGAGGCGCCAGGGTCTTCGGGCAGGCAATGGTGGCAGGGGCCGGAGGCACACTGTGGCAGCACACGGCGGACGGCTCACCGCCCATTCGCATCGCCTCTTTCGTCGTCGGGATGCCAGGTACCGGGTGCAGAGCCTGGCCAAGCGCCCTACCCCCCACTTGTTCACTCGTGCGAGCCGCGCATATAGTCGGGGGCATCCTGGCTGCCGTGTGGTGCGTAGCGGGCGCCGGCAGGTACATTGCATGAGACCCCCACTTGCAACCCATATGGACATGGGGCTGCGCCCCCTCGTCCAGAGGGGCTGGACGCTCAACTGGCAAGTCGTCTGGCGGCGCCTCAACACCGCTAGCGACCGTCTGGCTACCATCGGGGTCTTCTGGGCCGACGCCCTGAGAACAGCGGGGCAAGACAAGGTCCAAACCTGGACCGTCTGACACAAGTATCCTCGCAATGGGCCCCCCCCCTCCCCTGCCCCGACCCCCGCCCCTTTGACCCCGGCTGCCTCGCCGCCGCTGCTGACGCCCTGGAACAGGCCAGTGCCTAGGAAAGATCGCGCCCCCAGGGGGTCGATCGCCCTTCCCGCCGCCGCTAAGGCTGGGGCGCCGCCCCCCCCCCCAGCTGCCCGCTGCAGCCGACCGCCGCTGGCGCTCTTTCAAGAATCCGCGCAACTGTGCGTTCCCCCCCCCTGCTGGCCCAGCGCTGGCCAGCCTGCTGCCCCCCCGGCCCCGGCGGGCCCAGCGTTGGCCCTGGCCCGCGGCCCCGCTTCCAGCGCCCGCGCTGTCCCTTCGCGAGATGGTCAAGAACCGCAGGCGGACGGCGGGGGCGGTGCTGCGACCCGCGCGACAAGTTTTATATTAGGACCACTTTTTCAACGACAAGCACAAGAAGAAGCTCTGGCAGTGCGCCGAGGGGGTCCCCGACCCCTAGGAATAGATTGCAGGTGGAGGACTGTGGCGCTATCCCGATTGGGCACCCATCAAGCAGCACTCAGGGTGGATGATCGACGCCTCCCGTCTTCTCGACGGAACGGCAGAGAAACAGGGACTACGTCGACGGCGATTGGAGCGCTTTCCCAATAGGCGAGCCTCCCCCCAGAGCATCCGACGGCTGGCCCCCTGCCCCCCACGTCGGCACCGACGTTGACGCCGTCCGTTCGCCTTGGTTCAGCGGCGCAGGGGCGGGCGTCTCCAGGGAGCGCGCCGCTCAAGACCTGGCGCAAACGGCTCTCGGGCACCTGGCCAGCCCCGCCCCCGAACCCCTCGCGCTGACCGACGGCAACTCCTCTGGGGATTCTTCCGCGCGCGACCAGAGCGCCGCCCCTCCCCTGCGCCGCGCTGAGCCC